AAATAATTCATGCTTAGAAACATAAAAATGAATAATATTTATGTATCAATTGATAATTTTAGGAGTGAAAATAGCAGCCATTTCACAGGCACTTTAATTAGACAAGAGACAATTTTTTCCCAAAATTTTGTGAAAAATTCATTGGAATTCTTAACTGAATGAATTCCATATTTTATTTCCCAACCAAATATTTCATCTTAATACAAAATTTTAAGGAAGTATTGAAAAAAGAGAATTATTATCTGTATGGTTATTTGCAGGAATCTCTGATAAGTGAATTAGAAGACAGACGACTCCGGACACGAGCTAAAGGCCCGCCAGGTATGAAGAAATGTCAACTTGTAACTCTCAAATGCCGCAATCGGTGTCATGTCGTAGCGTGATAAAATAAAAAAATCTTCTGCCTGCCTGTATGATGATGATGATTCTGACCTAGTTTTAAAACGAGTTCAACGAACTCCAGATTACTTATTGTTGAACTCTGCCTTGCATTACACAACTTTTTTACAACATACCTTATTCATTGCTGCTCTTTTCAGTCCCTCTATCATAATAGTTTTATCAGCTACGCATCTTTTTTTTCTTTCTTCATCAATTCAGAATGGCACGGATATCATTATGATTCAAAATTATGATCAACGTTTACAAAAACCGAAAGATTTTTCTTGTGTTTTTTTTTTTGAATTTCTTAATAAACACAGAAAGTCTGTAAAAATAATGGAAAAAAAAAACTTTCAACATTATTGAAAAAATATATTTCTGTCGCCTCCAGAACAATTCTATTTGCTATCGCCCGTCATTACAGTTTTATTTTTTATTTTTTTATCTTCAGAACCAGTGCAGGAAATTTCCGGGTAAGCAAAAACTCCATTAAGTATATTTGAATATAATAAATCCAGTCCAAGCTTCTGGATATTGTGTCATTTTACTATACTTGCAATTATCACTGGTATCCATGGTGATACATAATTTGCTACATTTTGGCATATGATATAAATGAAACAATGTTCATGTTTTTGGTGTAAAATATGCAATTGGTCTGACTTACATCTACAATTCAAACTGCAACACTACTACTTTTATTTTGTTTGCTTATAGCTGCCCTACCCCTGGCTGTAATGGTTGTGGCCACATCAGTGGAAAGCACCTCAAACATCGGAGGTTTGTGCACATTTTTCATCAAAAATAATTTTTTACTTTATTTTAATAATATATATGTAAAACATGTTGAAAAAACGTCATACTGTTTTAGCGAATTGTGGTAAAATGACGTAATAGCGAAATGTTGATTTAGCAAATCTCTCTTGTCTTTGTTGATTTCTTGTTTTCACAATACTTGTCTGTCCATAAAAACAAAGTAAAACTGTCAAGTGTAATAAGGAAGCGCTCCAGATTATTACGTTTTTGACTCCCGTGTGCGAAGCACAAAAGGGAGTCTTTGCAGTTACCCTGTCTATGTCTGTATGTATGTATGTATGTCACTTTTTTTGTTCCACCGTTATCTCAAGAACCACTAATCAAATTTTCGTGAAACTTGGTACATAGATGCTCTGGGATGATGCGCAGAGTTGATTAGGTTTTGGTAAAAATCTATGAATATTAAAAGGTTAAAGTAAATCACTGTGACGTAATGAAAACATTTTACTTTTCAATGTTGATTTCATAATTGAGTTTGCTAAGACTTAGGAATGCAGGTATCACCATTGGGAAAGTATCATGTACATTACAGTACATTTTACATAAATTTATGTACTAAGAACTTTCATTAGAAGACAGCTACAGGCTAAATGACTCCCGTGTGCGAAGCACAAAAAGGGAGTCTTTGCAGTTAGTGTGTCTGTATGTGTGTATGTGTGTGTGTGTGTGTGTGTGTGTATGTGTGTCCGTCTGTTCCACTGATATCTCAAGAACCATACATCAGTTTTTGATGAAACTTGGTGCATAGATGCTCTGGGCCAATGCGCAGATTTGATTAGGTTTTGGTAAAAATCCATGCTCGTTAATTACCTAATTTGCATGATAATTAGCTGATTTCAAGCTGTTCCATGACTGTTCCACTGATATTTGAAGAACCACTCATTGGATTTTGATGAAACTTGGCACATGGATGCTCTGAACCAATACGCAGATTTGATTAGTTTTGGGTAAAAATCTATGAATATTAATTACCTAATTTGCATGATAATTAACTGATTTTAAGCTGTTCTATGACTGTTTCACTGATTTTTGAAGAACCACTCATTGGATTTCAATGAAACTTAGCACATGGATGCTCTGAACTAATGCGCAGAT